CATTGACCTCGCATCCCTACAAAGCCGGGACGGAGCACGCCGGGTTCTCACCGGACCAGGCTCATAGTCGAAGGGGGGGGGGGTTAAACCAGGAACGAATGCGGGAGAACCACGCCCCCGTGACATATTCAAGAGAGGGACGAGGGTCAGGGGGGGCGGGGCAATCGTGCCGGGTGGGCGGGTAAATCATCCCCTCATTCCATACGCCCCCGAGTAGCACGAGAACACCAAAAATACCGCTTCTGCGATGTCGAACCAGGGCAAGGGCTAAGAGCTGGGTAGGGTCTACCGGACAAGCACTAATTGTTTCAACCCCCCCATCGTTCGCGGGTCGACAATAAGTAATAGTTGTGACGCATTAAGGTCCAAAATTCACGAATGTGAAAAACAGTGAGCGCGGAGAACGCCGTACGAACAGAGTACGGAGGTCATTTTTATTCATATAGTCACTTTCTTTCAGGGAAGAGGGTGCTTGCACTCTTCTCGCATTAAAATTCGAAGACAAGCACCGCAGGAGGGGTGAGTAGGGGAGCCTCAGGGGGAGAAAACATTCTGTGTGGCCACAGATTGGAGCGCCTACCCTGTGAGCACTGGTTTAAGGTGACGCAAAAAGAAAAAAAGCAACCAACTCGAAGTTCGCCTGACGTTTGGCGAAAGTAGGAATGAGAGCGGGTACCCCAGCTGGGGGAGGATCTGGTTCAAAGCATACTACTGTACGTAGACTACTGTATGGAGCAGAAGTTGTTCCTTGCCCGGATATGGCCCCGTATCGCGCGTGTTCAATGCTAGTACACGCATTCGGAACCTTGCTCTTTTGAATCGACTAACGGGAATGTTTGGACTTTCTGAATGTCTTATTGAAAAACACGCACTCTTCGGAGGGATACGTATGATGACGATGCACAAAACTCCGATCTCGACGTTCCTCGTCGTTCAGTTGCCTTCGCCTGCTGTTCGCGCATGGTTGCGAGGGCCTTCTTGACGGAACCCACGGGGTGCTGCTGCGAGAGTGCGGCAAGCTTCTCGGCGATGGCCTTCATCGCAACGTCGTCCCCCTGCATGCGCGGGTGTCACAACGGCAGCACAGCAGTTGCGTTTTGTCGCTCGCAAGGGTAAGAAAGAGCACGGGAGCCTTAGGTAGTCCTTTCGAATGATATTAAACAGCGAAAATAGTTGGTGGAGACAACAGAACCGACGAGTGCAAGAAGGACAAAGCGAGAACAGCAACAACAAATTGAAGAAACACACCCACTGCAGCGATAACACCGAGCAGGAACAGCAAATACAAGCGTTGAGTGTCGAGCAACACACGATTAACGTTTTAAGCCCCTCTCCCTTCCGTAGATAGAACATGCCGGTAGTCTTACTACTCAGTCCCTTTGCACCCAGTCTCTCGCCTCAAGGTTCAGATGTCCGCCAAAACAAACTCCACTGCTTTCATTGTGACTTCGACGAAGAAGTGCCATTTTCCTACAGCGCCCTCCAGAGTATCTCTTCTCTCATCTTCACGGGTGCTTCGGGCGTTCCTGTGTTTTCGTCATCGCTCCCCTCAGCCTGAGCCGCAGTGCTCGCTGTGTCTGGTGCTCCTCCTGCTCCCCCGTCACCGGTCTCCAGGTGAACACAGGACCCGATCGCGCAGCCTCCGCGAGGGTCGAACCACTTCCTCTTCACGAGAAGCGAAGTGGAACCTTCGGGACACGCCTCGGCGACCTTGGCGCACTTGGTGTCCTCCAGGAGGGCTGCCTGTTGCTGGAACATAACCTCGACAGGGTTCGAACCCTAGGCGAGGGCGTCCCTCCCGTCGTCGACCTTCTTACCGATGTAGCCGTTAGAGTCGGTCTCGTTGATGAGGACGGCGAGAGCGTTGATTGAGGTCGCGGTCTTCCGTCTCCTGCTTGAGGATACGTGCGATGTCCCTCCTGTTGAGCTTGCGCCCCTGGCAGGTGGGGTGTGTTTCGTGGAAAGAGGGAAAATGGGAAGAAGGATAGTGGGGGGCTTGTCTTGTCAGCATGTTCTCTCTCGCGGGCGGCCTTGGTTTGTGTGTTTGTGTAGCCGTTGTATTCTTGTTTGTGGTGCGTGTGCCAGAGAGCATCGGAAAAGCGTCCGCTTGGAAGTCTCGGCTGCAGGCCTTCTTGCCGTGATAGGAAGGCCGTTGGTCCGACCTCGGCATTCTTTCGCAGCGAACATCATCCTGAACCCACCCAAACATTCTATGGTACGGAGATCGTACTCTATTTTTCTCTCTCCCCCATGCTATATCTCCCTCACTTTTCTTCTCTAAAACGCGGGTGGGGGACAAGAAACAAAAAAAAAAAGTGTGTAACGCTGTGGCGAAGCGGCAGTCTACGTGTGACTGGACTGCAAGAGGACTTGCCACATCGATCGGGTGTCTCAAAAGCGAGATGGCAACGTGTGTACCTGGTATCTCTCTGCTGTGCACAACTCGAGAAAAACTACAGCCAGTACATGAGGTTACACAAAAACAAGCACTCCCTATCGGCCGATAGAACGTGTCGCTTCTTACCGCGTTGTATGCCCTCTGCCGTTCGTCGAAAAATTCCCGGAGCGTAGTAAGCCCGGGCTCCTGCTGCTCCCGGAGCTGAGCCATGAGCACCGAGCTTACTGCCTCGTGCAGCGCTTCTTCGTCTCCGCCCTATGGACGTCGTTTCGGCGCAACGAGCAGCGAGAACCAGAAAGCACCACCAGATGAACCGTTTGCATATCTTACATTTCTATTGGCACCTCTCGCTTGCTTGGTTCCGCGTTGCGCAGCGTGTACCAGCATATTGTTCACGTTTGTATCCATGGCGTAACTAACTGCGATTGATTGAGATCGCCCGCAATCATGGCCAGATCAAGGCGATGCCCTCTTGGTTTACATTGAACTTGTCCGCCATATCCTGTTTTAGAGGTAAACACAACATCCGTTGCATGTGCCATTTGTTTCACTCTTGATCTTGCTGTCTATTTTTAACCAGAAGAAAAGTCCCTCCAACAGGCAGCAGGTACTGTAGATACAGTTGGCCCGAGGGGAGCCGATGAGCGACAATAAATAACAGAGGGGAGCTCAAAGAGTGGGCTGACTGGGAGGGGTAGGGGGATATTGCACTTGTTCCATGGAGGTTCCGTTTGCGCGCGAGAATCGTGTGTGTGCGCAGACGGCACTTTCTGGAACAAAGTATCTTTGGACAGCTGAAGATGGAGATGTGAGGATACATTGACCATGTACAGCAGTAGACTGTCTGATACCGTTTGCCATTACTCGTGTATTTTGTGGGGGGGCGAAAGAAATGGGTCGCGCCTCATGCATCGGCCCATTGCTGGTATTTCCGCACCGCGGTTTCGAAGACAGTTCCTCGCCACACCAGTCTAACTTGGCGCCGACCACGGCGTTAGTTTCTCGAATGTCGAGTAGACACTAACAGCGCCTGGGTTTTGGGGAACCAAAGCATCAGCTGGTCGAGCAGTATCTCCCGATGTGATGTTTCCGAACGGCTGCATTCAACGGTGCAATAGCTCCGCCACGCACGTTGTGTTGTTCATGGTGTGTGTGTGCACAACAAACTCTACTCCGTCAGGCATCGATGATCGCGAACATGGCTTTACTAGTGTAGTCGCATTGGCCACCTAAATCGCTTCGGTCGCATGGTTGGAATCAATCTACTGTAGGTGAAAGATACTCGGGAATGTTCTCATAATATTTGGTCCATGTCTCGAACGATGCATAGCGGTGAGAGCGCAGTGTCAAGTTCGAACTACATGCCTCTCCCCTCCCCCAACACGGTTAGGATGGTAGGAGTACCTGTGTTTCTCATCACGACTGGCGTAGTGTGTAGCAACATCGGGAATTCTCCTTGTTTGGGCCTTCGAAAAATTACGCCATTCATAAAGCTTCTTCCAAATGGACCCATGACGCGGGCGGGGAAATTGTGGGCAAATGCCTCGGGTTGGCATTGTCATGTGCTTGCCGGTCAGCTTGCTCGTGAACATCGGATGCGCGCCAAATAATTGACGCTCGACGATATCTGCATAGACAACCACGGTGACTTTATTCCTATCCTATGATGAAGCCACATGCTGTACGGTCCCATTGTTTTTCTACCATGGGCCGCGCCGTAAGCCGAGCCGCAAGAAGGAATTCGACGTGGCGCCGCGTAACCCCCCCCCGAAAAACAAACAAGCAAACAAACAAACGATACCACGCCTCGCGCGTCGCTTGATCCCATGCAACCTGTCCCGGCTACGTTCGGATGCCCACGAGCTTTGGAAACCCGGGCTCCACGATAGCGCAGCCCTGTCGCTTTCCTTCCGTTGTTTCTTTTTTATTTTATCTGCATCGTGCTTTTTGTCATGTTTCCCCGTGTAGTGAGATATCCCAGGCATCACGCGGATGATTTCGAGGGAACCTCAAAGATACAGCGGGAAGCAAGCAACGCCATGAAACCACCATACGGCGCGGGGGGCCGTGGCGATCAAGAAGGGCAAGGCAAACGACACTTGGCGCTTGATAGTGCACCACAGCTGACTATCGCCAATCGGTACTGCACGCCACCGCCGAGAGACAGACTAAGGTCTCTCTGAGGTAGCGCTTGCCGTTGTTCTTCTTGGTGGAGGAAATCCACCAAGGAACTCTTTGAGTCCTCCGATTTGGGGATTTTCTGGGCGGGCGGTGCGTCACGAAGGCTAACGGCTGAGCTGTGCCGTCTCGTTTCACGGTCAAATTGCGTGCAGGGTGCGTATCGTACAGTTCTGTGTTGGTAATATAAGCGTAATGCACGACATCGGACGACCCGACGGGTTGTACTGTTGTATCCCGAAGCAGATATCGCACGACTTCGAATTGGGTGTTTTCTGAAATGGGTAGTGCGTACCTTTGGGAGGCTCAACCGTCCGAGACTGCTACTGTGCAACAGTTTTGTCCCGTCTGGTGGTATTCGGAGGGAGATTTTGTGTTTTAGTCGCAGAGACACGTTAGGATACCGCAGAGGCTTTGTGCCGAACGGAACGTGTGGTACGGGGGAAGTCTCCCTCCGTAGGCCACAGAAATACTAATCAAGGCAATTCGAAAGAAAACAACGACATGAAAGTTTGTTGTCGAAGACCGAATAAACTGTAGTTTATTGTGCACGGAAGAATTCGGAACATCTCCCGGATCTAAGTTTGTATTTGGGCTCTTGATGTGCCGCCCTGGAGGCGTGTTGGTTGGGTTGTCTCGGTTTGGTTTTCTGTGATCTTACAAAGAGAAAGGTCTCACGGAGTTCTCCTTCTCCTGCCTCGCTGCTCCTGCAGCAAGAGTTTGATAGACGCGTGTCTACTGGACCAAGGGCCACGTGTTGAGGAATGCACAGTGTGTATCAGCCCGTGTCGGAGGGTCACGCGGGAAGGAGGGCAGCAGCTAGCTACATCAAAGTTTGGACCTAGCTAGCAGAAATTCGTAGCTTTTCTCCCGCCCACTCACCCCTTTTCTTTCGAAGGTGGGGGATAGGAGATGTTACAAGTGAGGACTCACTTAGGAGAGGCCTCTTAATATTTCTGTGACTCGAAGTTTGTGCAACCGTTTGCCACGTAGAAGTATGGCGTACGTAGCATGTTTTCTGAATGGTAGTGCGTACCATTGGGAGGCTCAATCGTCCGAGACTGCTACTGTGCAACAGTTTTGTCCCGTCTGGTGGTATTCGGCCCCCCAGTAGTGATGACGTACCATTACAATGTATCGCTGGTTGGTGGCCATGTTTGCGTATTTGCTTGTTCGTTAGTGGTCTCTCCACCGTGTGCCTTGTTCTGCCTCTTACTTCTTGTTATTTTCGGCCTGGTCCCTTATTGTCCTCACTCTTTTTCATTTTATTTTCATTTTATTTTCTCTTCTCCTTACTGTTTCCATTTTTTTTATTTTTCTCTTTTTCTCTTTTTCTCTTTTTTCTCTGTTCCTCTCTTTTTTTCTCTCTTTTTCTGTGCCAGATGGCCTTGTCTCTGCTAGCGTTGTGAAGTACCAAGATTGAACCAAGGGGGTGCACCTCTTTCTTTCCGGCCCATGATAGATAGTGACTCCTAGTCTCAGTTGATACCTCGCATAGCGCGCAGAGGGAGTGGAGGATTCCAGAATATCTGTCGTTGATTTCTATTGACTTGCGGACCCCTCGGGGCCAGTTTATTTGAGTGTACCTTGTTAGGGTAAGTTAACCTGTGGCCACGGGAATCGACCGCGTCGAGTGTTGGATCAGTTTACGACATACATACGAAGGTACTGGGTAGAGAGAGATCGGAACGGTTTTTAAATTGAAGACAATAACAACAACAACAACAACAATTCGGAGGGAGATTCTGTGTTTTAGTAGCAGAGACACGTTAGGATACCGCAGAGGCTTTGTGCCGAACGGAACGTGTGGTACGGGGGAAGTTTCCCTCCGTAGGCCACATAAATACTAATCAAGGCAATTTGAAAGAAAACAAAAAACTGTCATATTAAGAAAAAAAAAAAAAATGGTGATTGGCTATTTTGGTACACGTTTTTCTTCTCTCAGGATCGCTTGCTTTTTTGGCGGGGTGTGAAAGAGAGAGAAGACAAGGGGCGGTGACTGGAACACGGATGGATCCATGAAAACAATAAAAGTTCCAAGCTGGTTGCCCGTACTAGCTCTAAGTTGGGCGGCGCGGCATCCCACTAGCAAGGAGGCTTGGAGCGCACGGTAGATCCAGACGGCACTGCTGCTATAGGGTATCCACACACAAAAACACGTGCCACACAACAACCGATGCAAACCAAATTATGAGGGCGCTCTCACCGTCATGGCCTCCTGCAGGCCCCCAGGCACCGGTGCGCACCCGACGGGGATGCACCCACCGAGGACATTCCTCTTGAGAAGCATAATTTGGCCCTCCGGGCATGCCTGCTGCAGGGCATTACACCTTGCGGTGTGGACAAGGTCGATCATGTGGGACATGATCTTGTCGTCCGCCGGCAACGCTGAAGCTGATGGGGCTGCCAATGCAGCCAAGAGTACAATGAAAAAGCCCTGAGGGAACCCATGTCTGGTGCCAAGTGGTTTGACCTGTCGCTACAGCAGCAGATCTATCCCTGTTGCCTCCGAAGAGCCACAAGCAAGGTCGGAGGTGTGCCGTGGATTGCGCGGGCAGCGGGGGGTTCGTCGGCTGCGGGTTGGGAGGGGGGCGCGGAATTTGTTTCTCCGAAGAGTTACAGGTTATACCGAAGTTTGGGGCGGTTCAGGCTTCAGTGGCCTTTCGGATGAGTCAAGGACTTGAAAACGGACTCAACTAGCCCGCAGCCAGCAGGTCTCACTGCGTCCTCGTTGCAAAGACGCTAGCACATCCCCTCAGAGAGTTTACCCAGGGTGGGTCGAGTCTCTCTGTGATGGTGTGTCGGCCCGGTGAAAGGGCGTGTAACCGTCAACCGTCAAATGCCTGGACGCAGTAGCTAAACGCTAACGTAGGAGGCAGTTCTGTAGGAGGAACTCGAGGCCGTGGTCACACAGAAGGATTCCTTCCCCTGAGCCCCCCTGTCAACCCCTCCTGCGGTGCTTGCCTTCGATTTTTGACGCGAGAAGAGTGCAGCACTCTCTCCCTGAGAGTGTATACACCACAGATAAGTAGATGTTGGACAGGAACGGAAACGAGAGACAAAAACTCACTTTGAATAAAAGACCGCTTTCGCCGGGGTTCGAACCCCTTGCCCTGGTCGTTACGGGAGAATGTTGCGAGGATACCAATTAGACTACAGGGATGCATAGGGCAATTTGGAAAGTCTTACGCATACACTACGATATACTTTTTACTTGACAAGGTGAGCGACAAGTCCTTGCCATCTGGCCACCGAACTGCTCGTAAATCGGTGGCGTGGTAATTCTGAGACACGAGCAAACAAAAACAAAGGACAACCTGACTACCGCTATGCACACCAAGACACATCAACCTCTCGCCAAACCAACATGCCAACTCCTCCCCAGGTCCCGTCCAGCTCTGTCTGTCTCCGAAGCAGAATTGCTCGAAAGACAAGGTCGACTGGTGGAACACGCCGCAGCCCAGCAAAGATCAAACGAAGCACACTTGCAAAAAAATAAGCTCGTCAACATCGTCGACTTTGATGAGAACAGAAACCAACGAATCAAAGAACTAAGAAATATACTTCATAAATTACACGTACACATCTCGTCGGTGTTATTAGTTGTACCGGGGCATGCTGCGCACGGTGATCGTACTCGAAGACCCCAAGATCTTGGCATGGACCCAACTGTCATGCGCCCGCAAGTCGCAGCGTTGGACAATCCTATCCAACAATACTCGAGACACACACAACACCCCGTAGTTTCGCCCGTTGCCTCGAAGAATATGCAAGAGAAACATAGGTATTTCACAGAGGTCACACCGATGTCATTACTGTACCACCACATCAACAAAATTTGGACAACAATCGTCTTTCCTCCACTCACTTCCACACTGCCTAGCCCTCTAACTCATCCATCTGGGTTCGGATGAACTGTCAAGGATCCTTACCGCCCCCCGTCTCCCTGACACCACAGAAAGCTTTCCCTCCCAATTACCCTTCCCCTCACCCCACATCTCAACGTCACATTCCTGTACCTAGCTCTACACGGTTGGCAAAACCAAACATGGTCATGTGCAAAGCAGTTGCACCGCACAGACCGCACAGCAGAGCACAGCAAGTAGGCAGTATTCCACAATCGCGGCGGTGTTGCAGAAATCACAACGCTTAAAGGTGCTGCATTGTGCGTACAGCAGTACACTCGAACATCTCAAAACCCTTGACCACACGGTGCACGGTATGAGTAAACACCGCGGGCACTGTCCACTAACCGAGCCTCACGGGAACGTTCCGAAATCCCGCGGGATCGTCCAATACAGCACTTGCAGCAACCCCTCGTCTCTGAGGAACTGCCCGGCCCACACGCGAAGCATGGCTGTCGAAACCCCGGGGATGCTTTCCCCTGCCCTGCCGTTCTTGTTGTTCGTGCGGTGATGTACCATAAAGTCTTCAAAATGGGTCGCAGGGAAAACCTGCACGTACAATACCCATTAGTAGTCAGTCGCGAGAAGAGAGGGGGTTCCGGCCGAGGGGGGGAAGGGGGGGGGGGGGTTACACTATTGGTGGCGTTTCTTGATTGGCGGTGAGTGCGACCGGAGTAGTGTCAGCATTGGAAGGGTAAGTCTACCACAGTGGTTGCATGAGCCTCGCGCAAGGGTTGCACACAGCCTTAGCCTCGGACTGACGTCAGGAGGGCGGCATGGTCAACAGCGGGTGAGGGCGGCGATAATTTACTGACTAGACTAGACCCCAAGCCGAATAATCACGTCGAAACGCCACACGGTCAAAGGACCGTGGACGTCTACAGCCAGAAAATGCCGGTGGCTCAGCAGCAACGCAGGTGACGTAGTTCGGTGAGAGGGGGGTGGGGGGGCGGGGGCTTGCTGTTGGACAGTTCCAATCAGAAGGAGGAAAGATACCGACCCATACGATCACGCAGGGCCAGACGATCGATCCAGCTCTTGCAAGCACACGATACTTCGCGTACTGATTCACATCGAATACACTGATGCCACTGAAACAAATTAGTTGCACGGAAAAATGCCGGTCGCTGAAGGCGAAAACCGTTCGTGCACGTGCACCATGCAACGGCTGTACCGGAATAAGGTCGACGCGCGCAAGAAAACAGCACGCGCCGCTGGTTAAACAAACGGTTGCTGCGTACCTGCAAAAAATACACCGCCGGAAGGCATTGTGTCGTGCGGCAAGAACGATCGAGGATTGTCATGCAACAGCTGGCGCTGTTCATCGGTTCCTTCATTCACGAATGGACGGGGATTAGGGTACAGCACCTTTATAAAACCGCACTCCGGAAGGAACATCTGTATGCTGCCGCTGTGCATCTCTGGTATGCCGTTCGCGGAAGATTCGTCGAATTCCAGGTAGTTGCACGCCTGGTTCGCCGCCATCTTTTTCAGCTGCTCTCTGGTCGCCATCCACATGCCCTGTAATGATGTTTGGCCACGCCGGGTCGTTACGAGTCATGATCGGACGATGCACGCACTGATGGGATTCTTACATACTCCAAGGAGAGAGGGAGCGAGAGGGGCGAGGAAGGGCAGTGGGGGAAGGGAGAGGTAGAGAAAAAAGGCAGCAAAAGAACAACCACAAGCAACAACGACAAGAGCCATCATCCCAACCTGTCATTGCCATCAACAGCAAAAATAGCAACACCACCACCACTACCACCAACAACAACAACAACAACAACAACAACAACAACAACAACGCAAGCATTACATAGCTCGCATATCGTAAACGCGCCCCCCCTCTTGATCCTTGTCCAGGGGTACAGTACCACACCTGGTTGTTGCCCGCTCTAGGCAGCACCTTGGACGGACTGAGGGACATGTAAGTGCCCGCTCCGTAAATCTTGATCGGGTTCAACCTGGTTTGTCGTAGCACATGCTTCAGTTGCCGTTTCAGGCGTTGCTTCTTCAAGGTGGTCGTTGTTTGGAGCCATCCCAAGACCGAAGAGGTCCATGGAATATATGCGTACAAAAAAAAATCAAGAAATCATATCATGAGACGAGCTTTCTGCAAGACTGGGTCGGTCAAGCTGGTTGGTTGGTGGTGGTGATGTTGGTACTGTCGCTGTTTCCTTTGGGAGGTGGTGGTGATAGTGCCGTGTTCGCCCAATCATCCACGAACTCGGGAAGGGGCGAGTTTCCATGCCACAGACGAGCCGACAAAATATTGGCTAATATGAAAAACAAAAACGGTCAAGAGAAAAACGTTCAAATGCGGAGGCACTTCCTCTTCCTGTACGGCCGGTTGGTTCTAAGTGACCACCAATATTAGACGTACGGGGCCGAACATCTAGCGTAGGATACTGACGAGAACAATGAGCCCATTCGCCGTCCCAACAACAACAACTATTCCCTGGTTGCTGGAGAGGGGGGAGGGGGGTGATTGGCAAACAACCTTCTTACTCTAAAGGGTCTCCTACTCGAGCCACCCATCCGTCCCCAACTACAAGAGCAATCGGTGGCCCCTTGCTGGGGTGGGCGGGCGTTTGCTTGGCACCAATTGGCACGCACAAAAACTCGCCTGCTTAACACGATCTCCCACTCGAACCACTCCCCCTCCCACTTGTCCTTCTCCTTGTCCTTCGTCCCCCCGGGCTCGACCCTCAAAAACCCCGGCACGAACACGTTCGGCCTACCACGAGACCCGCCCATTCCCCTGCACAAAGGGGGAGGGGAACAAAACGCCAGCGTTGGGAGGGGTGGGGGGAGGGGACAGGCGAGAGCTCCCTGCTGTGCCATACCGCATGGTCTTTGATGTCACTGCTGCAACTATCTGTCCGCGGAAGGTAGTCCCTACACACAACTATGGGCCACGCCCTTTGAAGTTTTTGTGCCGGTTCCTTTCTGCGCGAATCACTCCTTCCACCCTATCCCGAAGGACAGGGGGGCCGGCAGCACCCATGTCCGCACCCCTTGTACCATATAGAAACGCGGCCAGACACCTCAGGGCCGCAACCAAAGGCCACATTTTCTCGGTGCGGGATGCGCACTGACCGACCAATCACCAGCTGTCACTGCGTGGAGAAACTTGGGACTTTGATGCCCGGGAACGACACATGCTATGGTTGGAAAGTGAAGCTCCTTGATACCAACGCTTACGCCCTTCCCACGTTGATCACTCAAAATATTGAAACTATCGACTAACAACCGCTTTCGCACAGCTTGTGTGAACCGTCACCGATTCTACCGCCCCTGTTCCGATTAGTCGATCTCAGAAGTCAGCGTGTCTACGGGGGACTATTGATACTGCTGCTGTCGACGCAACCACCTCATCGCAACTACACCTTCTCTCACAATCTTTTTTCCAGGTTATCGCATTCCTCGCGGTACAGCAGGATGTGGTTGAGGGTAACGATCATGTCGTCCTCCACCTGCGACCGAAGAAACACATCAGGTACGGACGCGCGGCCCTCCGGGTCAGGAGTGTGGGTGACGGGCCTGGCCGTGAGGGGGTGAAACGAAACCAATTCCACCGAAGAGGGAGGAAGACGTGACGAGATATGTGTACCCTTGCTACCGAACTCATTTTCTTTGTTCAATGTTCAAACGAGGATGGTTCTGTTGTCTCACCCCCCGCCCGGCGGCGGGGCACAAGACGACGACAACGAAGAAGAAGACGAAGGGTGCCGAGAAGGGGGAAGGGGAATGAGATGGGCACTGGTTTGTTTCCGTCTAAACATGGAAAAGAATGGGCAGGCAAAGCTGATTCATCAGAAAACACACACACACACACACACACAGGAAATACCATGCAGTCATGTGTTGGGGACGGTGCTTGCGAAATGCCTCGCACATTTAGTGTAAGCAAAATACTTCAAGGGAGTGAAGGCGGTGGTGAGGAAGCAGTCCCCGCACTCTTAAGATAATGCTCACAAATCCACTCTGCTGTCGCTCCATGGGCGAAGCACACTTCCTCATGCTGCTTCCGTACAACCTGACGGACAACTGCAGGATATCCACCACCGCAATGTGCTCTATAAACGCAAACGCAAGTACGTCCCATCGGGCTCAAAACGTCTTGTGGTCCTCACGTTTCACACATCGACGTGCGTGGAACGCCTCTCGCCGACTTACCTGCATGAAAACGTCGAAGTCTTCCACCCTTGGCTTCATGTAGATGCGATGCTGAACAGACAAGAAGACAAGACCAAAGGGGGATGCAAAAATCAGCTAAAGCGCGCAACAAATAAATACGCTCTTACGCGTACTCCTCCGTGTCTCAGCTGCCAAGTACCACTTTCCAAAATTAAATGCTGAGCGGATGAAGCCGGAGGCGGGACCGGCGACGGGCTGTTTTTGGGTAAAAACTTCGATACTCTGAAACCCTGAAACAACAGATCGAGCGGGTGTTATCTCGCGACAGAAGCCTGCCGTTGTGGTGGCAGATGAAAACCAACAACAACCAGCAAAAACGATCAGACCTCGGCGATGCCGGGACAGCGGTGGATCGAACGAGAACCTTCACACCAAAAATTCGGCAAGGAGAGAGGTATGTATGTAAGTGGACCCAATTCAACAGGTAGGTATGATCGATGACACCGCAGGAGACACCCGGAGCGTGTTTGTTGGCGTCGATGCGAAAAGAAGCTACTTCCCTATTCCTGGCCGACGGTTTCAAACCGCCTACGCCGTGCATGGCAGTACTTGTAGGTGTCCGGTTGTTGGGGCGGTATAACTATTTAGTATTACGGACGAGAATTTTGAAACTATCCTTCAGATCAATGTACTCACGTCTGAGGCATAAAAAACATAATGCGGTGCCCCCCCTCCGTATGGCCGACTCATTTTCTGTCGGTTTCTCACTTCTCATGTCCGACTACATACCTCTGCAAGACAACAAGCATCCCCCCCCCCTTCCCACCGCGGATACAACGTCGTCGGTCACCTTGATCGCCAGGTTGTTCCGGACGGAGGGAGGGTGTTCCTCGGAAGAGTAAGGGACGAGTTCGCCGGTCCTCTGGCAGAAGAGGCGGTCTCGAATCAGGTCGGCGACCTCAGAGGTGTCCCAGGCGGCGATCAAGTGGACATGGGGTGAGAATCCCCCCTGTTTTGGTCGTGATGCAGGGGGGGGGGGTGTACTCATAGTCGTGCATGCCGTAGTCGTTAGACCATTGACCTCGCATCCCTACAAAGCCGGGACGGAGCACGCCGGGTTCTCACCGGACCAGGCTCTCACATCACCAAGCGCGAAGCGCCGTGAGGTATTCGGCGAGTCGCATGAAGGGTGAGCTGCATCCTGCTAAGGGTATTCGGCATCTTGTGCTTACTTCCTTGCGTACGGATGACAGCTGCGTATGACTTCATTTATTTTCTGGTGCTTTCACTTCCAGAGACAGTTGTAAGCACTGTGTAACTGCCTCGAGGATGCTTGACCATTTATGCAGGGGGGGGGGGTAACAAGCGTGACGGGGTGCAGAAAGAAACGGCCGGGGGTTGAGAAGAAACACGCGCGCGACGGGGTGTGCGTGGTGTCTCATGCCTTTTGTATACAAGATAGGAGGGAACACGGAAAAGAAGGCGCAGCACACACAAAAATAGTGATGCCTTGCTATCGAACGGCGTGTACCCGTACCCGCCTCCTTAATCATCTATCTGCCTGTCGAGCTTCTCTGACTTGTCCTTGTGTGCCAAGGGCCATGCCCAGCTCCTGCCTACACTTCTGTCATGTTCGAAGAAATGTCCTTGATCTAACCAGACCACCACGGCCAAGACGCCAGAAAAAAACATCCCCCGAACTTGTTCCGGGAAACAAAGAAAATCTGCTCCCGTTATGTACGCCATACGAAGACCTCGCGCACCTCGCAGGCCTCCTTCATCTCGTCCATCATCATGAGGATGTAGTCCAGCTTGTCCACCTTGCCGTCGTAGCCTAGCCCCAGCCTCTTCCGTCGGTCGTACGACGAGATCACGTACAGGATGCGCCCCGACTCGCCCCCCGTCGCCCCTGCTGCTTCCTCTGGCCCCTTACCGTAGGACCACTTGTAAACGAGCTCTCTCCTCCGCGTCGGCTCGATCGGGGGGACGTAAGTCCCGCGCCAAAGCTCCGCCCCGCGTTTCAATCGCCAGGCGCGCTCCGTCGCCGCCACTGACGACTGCTGTGCCCGCTCCTCCCCGGCGCCTGCCGTTCTCCTCTTCGTCGTGGTCCTTCGGGGTGTCCGTGCTGCTCGGTCGTCTTCGCGGAGCCCCCCGCTCGCCGACCTCGTCGAGTCGGCCTCCGAAACGGCTGCCCGTTTCTTCTTCCCCTCCGGCGGGAGAGTCGCCGCTTCTGTCGGCGCCGTTTGCGCCCCCTCCCCGCCCGCCTCGGGCGCCGCCCCCTGTCGCTTCAGACCCCTCCTCAAGCGTGGTCGCCTTGTTCCCGTCTCTGCACCGCCGCCAGCCGCGGTAGCGGTGGCAGAGGCGGCAACGACAGCGCGGGAAAAAAACACCTCGGCGTCACCCCTACCCTCCAGCCCCCGCCCCCCCGCGGAGGCCGGGGCTTCGCCTACCCTCGTCGAACCCTCGGAGTCCACAGCCACGGGGCTCCCTCCCTCGCCCTCTCCTGCTTCGCCCGCCACTCCTGCTTCTTCGGTTACACCGTCCGTCTTGCCCTGGGCTGCGTTGGCGTCCCCTATTCCCCCCTCGACACGGCCACCACTACGTGTGTCTACGCTGGCTACCCCTTCGCTGGACCGCATCTCTTCCGCCCGTTGCAGGAGCCACGCTTGGTGCCCGCGCTGAATTTTGCCGTAGTGCGGCGAGCGCCAGCCACTGTCGTCTCGAACACCCGCCCAGCCGACTGTGAGAGGTGGCGTTCATGCATCCGGTTTGGTAAGTTTAAGTCTTGTCGTACTTATTTGTTAGTGAGCTACTTCAGCATATTGGCTTGTTAAACAAGATGCGGAGTAACACTACCCGAATTCCGCGCGTAATTTAGTATGGCCTGTTCATTCACCGCAAACGCCCCGTTTGACTGTTGCGAAACGTTTGGGGAATGCAATCGTCCATGTCTGTCGACGTTTTTCGTTCCAGTTTCGGCTTATTTCGAAATGGAACAAATTATTGAACGTGGTTTTATAGCACGAATCCGAGGGCCAAACACACGTTATTTCGTTATTTCTGCATGGGCCATTGACAGCACAGCCGGACCTCTAGCTGAAATCACCGATCCAGGGTGCAATCCAAGCGTGCATGCGCTGTGCTACGGAGGAGTGTCCCACCCCTTCCTGTTCCCATATTTCCCTAGTGCGGGCCCCCCGCGCAGTTAGTTTCTCACCCTTGGATCGACCCTGGTTCGGTAGCCGCACTCCAGGCCTCAACCCGACCTCGCGTCCCCACGATTCCGGCCATGCCTGCCCCGCCTCTCCTCTTCCGCCAACAGCAGCAGCCCGGCTTTCCTGGAGAGGTCGGTGGCCACCGCTGCTGTCTTGGACCATGGGCAGGAGCGCCCGATTGCGAGGGTTGAGGGCGGTCAGGCCGAGGCCGACCAGCAGCAGCGATGCCGTCGCGGCGACGGCGGCTTGATTCGAACGTCTCCTCGCCATCTTGGAGTCTGGCGGGGGGATGGCGGGGTTGGCCGTCTCTGGTAGTGGGTAACACAAAACCGTGGTTGAAGTAAAAGACTGCGTTGTAAACCCCTGGAGCAATCCAAAGTGGTGCAGAACTCGCCCGCACTTGAGAACTCAATGGAGTAAAGAAATTGAGCCTCAAGAAAATTCAAATTTAAGACATTGAGCACAACTTGTGAGCTAGGTAACAACCCCTGCACTAAAACCTTACCGACCCCTCACATTTACGACAGATGGAACTTCATACCTTTTCTCTGCCTATGGACGTGTAGCAGATCAACTAGACTAGTTCTCATCGTATGGAAGGAACTACAGTATTCACCACGCTGTGACAACGGAACATTTAATAACAGTTATCCGTTGAGAGGGTCACCACACACACGCTGCCACAAAACCGTACTAAGTACAAAGCGCACCTCTCCTTCGTGTATGCCGAGAACTGTACCTACAAGATGTTTGTTTTGTACAATAGACAAGTTGGTGCCCAAGAGAGATTCGCGAGGAAGGCACGTAAGCCACTCGGGTGAAGAAAATTCCAGCGGCCACGACAGACCGCCGACAAGGCATATATTGTTCTTGGAGACAAGTTGGTGCCCAAAGCAAGAGAGATTCGCGAAGAAGGCACGTTAGCCACTCGGGTGAAGACTTTTCCAGCGGCCACGGTAGAACAAGGCATCATGATGTTGCATGTACACAGAGTGAGAGGGGATAACCCGGCTTGAAAATTGGTGAGGGTATGGAGTTGCAGATAACGATGTTATGCCAGTACACCTGTGCACATGCTCACCGATTGCTCCGAACATGCACGTTAGTGACGCGACCCACATGAATGCAGGAGGCAAACCACGCAACACACGGAGGTTACAAGGGACAGAGATTGGTGTCGGGGTAAATGCGCAGTCTTGAGTTCAGGAACCAAACCGTCTAGCGGTGTAGCAGTATGCACACCTAAATTATCCAGGACTACTTGTTGGAGGACCAGCAAGTGCCACCAGTTACTTGGCATTTTCGCATTCTCCAACCCTTAGGTGCCTGACTTCTTTTCCGTCTGCGGAACCTGCTCACAGCGGACAAGCAAGAAGTGTCTCAAGACAAAGATGTGCCGCTTGTCTCGAGCGTACGGCAAGCATGGGGCCCACACACACCTACCAGTCTACGCCGCCGGGGAAGCTATCCAACATCCCCTCGCCTCTTCTCCTCTTCCTGTCTTGCTGCAGCCCCTTCTCTCGCCGCTGCGCTCTACGCTCAGCACTAGACGGTCCGCATGCGGACCCGCACAGCGAATGGTCGCTTGGCCCCGGGTCTCGGGCTTCCAAAGTCGTCGGATGGTCCGATGCCCCACCGCGAAGTTCTCATTTTTGAATGTGGTTCTGAAAGCGTGTTGTTCCTTTTCGGCTTGAAACGGCTGAACGACGAAACGACGCCTCGACGAGACCGCCATTTGTACGCTGTCCTTTTTGGCACCATCGTGGGAATCGTCCGCTACCAAATCACGTAAATTGCCGAGTCTATGGCTCAAGGGAGCGCATACAGTTCTGTGAGACGCAATTGTTGTAAAAACAGAATAGTTGTTCAGGAACCTGGTCGATTTTTGCACAGCAAGACAGATGCGGAGGAGATAGACGGGTGCTTTGTCGTACTGCAATGATTGCACACCCACGCTGAAAGCTCGATTGCGTACTAAGAGCAGGGAAAAGAAAATCGGCAACAGACCCGTGCCAAGACAGCATGCCCGGAAGACGCTCATCCGCCGGCCGAGCTCGCGGCGCGCGCCGACAGAGCGCGTCCCAGATCCAATGGCGCCAAGCGTCCGCGACTCAAGTTGCGGAGACGGGAGGGCTTGAAGTATCGGGGGGCAACGGCTATATCGACCCGCTTAAGGCTATCGACAAACTCAAGAAACACGGGAAGGGACTGTGGGGGATGCAGGCTGTCGTCGCGTTTGGAATGTCTGCGATCGCCGTCATTACTGGTGAGAGAGAAAAGTATCGCTTGAAGTGCGCTCACGACGGCGCCGTCTTCGCACGGTCAGCGTGCTTTTCTGCCAAGCCAACACAACTTGTGAACCTTGTGAAGCTGTACTCAAAAAAGTCCCACCTTTTGCGAGTTGTACGTGGTTACATACTGCTGTAGGCACATAAGAAATTAAGTCGGAGATGAGTTTGAAGCTGTACTTTGCTTTTGGCGCTAATAAGATGGTCGGCACAACTAAAACATGTAGCGAGCTACATACATGTGGTCTAGTCTACACGGCAACATTTCTCGGTCGAGGCGGTGTTCGTTAGGGGCTTGCTTACTAACCTTGGCAACTGTTAGCGACATCGTTCATGTTTTCAATACAGACGTCAGGTACGGCATCACGTACTGGTACACCAACACGGCGGGTGGAGGAAAGCTACGTGAGATGCAGTACGTCTGGGCGTTCTTCAATACCATGTGCGCCATGTGCGGCGTTTGGGTATACCTGCTCTGGAACGAGGCCGTTGTTGGCGTCCACCGAGATCGAAGAGTTTTCAGACAGAAGGTGATTTTTCCTTACCTTCCATCAAGCTTGGAAATGCGTTTTCGTTTTCATTCTCATGCTACGAAATACTTCTATCCAAACACCAGGCTATGCATATAGTCTAAGAACGCATAGAAAATCCCTCGCGTGTGAAGCTGTCCAAATATTTTTACCATTCTAGTTGAGTTATGTAGTTCTTTAGAGTTGCAGTCATCTCGGGGTCATCAAGCAATCATGCGGGGTAAAAGCGTACTCAAGCTTTGCACGTATCGTGCGTGATCTTGCGAGTAAACGCACTTATCGGAGGTTACGCACCCATCCGAGTAATCGAATGGGATTAGGCAAAGAAGAAGCAAGAACGGCGTGATGTATTTCGATTCTACACAGGTATCGGTGTAATCGCACCTAGTCACGCTTAGGGAGTATGAATGCCTGCTACTGCCGCAAGTGGCTGCGTACCACTTTTGAAGCTATAACGGGTACTCGATAACATTTGCGTTTAGGTTGTGGCCGTGTTTTGTTACGGATCATATACCGTAGATCTTCTGGTACGGCTGGCACCAGTAAAGTCGCTGTAGTAGTATTCAGAATCGTACCTATGGGGATGATCCCACCAGGATTCCGTGCATTTTCTCACCACTGGGGGGGTGCTCGCCCCCTTCGGGGTTATGGCACGGGGGGGGGGGGGGTGTACTCATAGTCGTGCATGCCGTAGTCGTTAGACCATTGACCTCGCATCCCTACAAAGCCGGGACGGAGCACGCCGGGTTCTCACCGGACCAGGCTCTCACATCACCAAGCGCGAAGCGCCGTGAGGTATTTGGCGAGTCGCATGAAGGGTGAGCTGCATCCTGCTAAGGGTGTTCGGCATCTTGTGCTTACTTCCTTGCGTACGGATGACAGCTGCGTATGACTTAATTTATTTTCTGGTGCTTTCACTTCCAGAGACAGTTGTAAGCACTGTGTAACTGCCTCGAGGAAGCTTGACCATTTTAACACAACGTGGTGCGATCATCCCCCTTGCGCGGAGTGAGGGTTCTCGACCCCGCACAACATGATCTACTCGACCACCATTATGGTCACCGCCAAAAAAAAAAACGAGGTAAAAAAAAAAACGGTAACCTGGTTGTCGAGTTCACGAAGTGAATTGGCTTGTTTTACAACGTCGTTGCCAAGCGACGAAAACCCAATCCCGATGGCAAACACCGAGTGGGGGGCTTGTTTTACAACGTCGTTGCCAAGCGACGAAAACCCAAACCCCGATGGCAAACACCGGGGGGGGCGGCTTGTTTTACAACGTCGTTGCCAAGCGACGAAAACCCAACCCCGATGGCAAACACCGAGGGGGGGGGTTATGGCACGGGGGTGTGATAAAAAAGACGAAAAACATAAAAATATACATTATTATAAAAACGATCGCACCCGGTTCGTTCACTCGCAATATCCCGGTGTTCTCCCAGAACCAACGGCAGACAACAAGCTTGTTTGACCGTTTAGGAAACAGGACAACATATCTATCTGGCAGGTTGTTCGATATAATTATATCGCGAACGAATATCGAACGAGTTGGTTCGGAGTAAGTTCGGCTTGTTTCTCCAATTCTCAGGGTAATATGCGCTGGAGAACTCTAGCACTGAACTCGAAGAAATAGTTAATATTCCCACAGAGCACTGTAGTACATGCGAAACGACTTCATTCTTATACCCTATGAGCACGAGCGCAGTGCTTGTGCCGACTTGTTTGGTTAACACGATTCAGAGACACGTCATTCAGAAGTACAAGCTGTAGATGACAGCTTGATCCTACAAGTAGGGAGATGACAAAGGCGCGGGTCACTTGATGCTCTCGATCCACGATTGTGTTGAAAAGGGATGTTGTCGTGTCAAGATGTATTCTCAACCTCTTAGTTAGGGGACACGCAGATAGTCCTGATGTGAGATACTACCTTAGAAGTATACCTTCCTGTCATCCCACACCCTACTCTCTATAAAGTACACCAACTACGGTAACAGCGACACTCCATAACAAAGTGCTGTGCTTCATATACAACGCGCAAACCTGACTTCCGTGGTGACCAATATGTATGTGCTATTTTTGGGAAGAACGTGGATGCATTCCTTTCTTGAAGGCTGGACGTCGCTTGTTGAATCCTAAAACACTAAACCTCGTCAATCTGTCGTCGGAGTTCCAACGACATGTCTCCTGCAATTTCTCCCTTTCAGCTAAGCCGACCACGCCGGGTGAACGAAGTGATCGATCCGTCCGCCATCATCCGTTTTTGTTGTTTGTGTTGTCCGTCGAAACACCACCCACCCTCCCTCCCCCCATCACTGGATCTCTTCCGTGCACCAAGGTGCACATCTGGATGTCATACTTCACGTGGGCCTTCGGGTTATGGACTACGGCGGTTGTGTTCGTGAGCTTCCAAACTTACTCTTTCTCCGGTGAGCACACAAGGACGTACTGTAGTGATAAGGGTGCTCGCAGGCCGCAGCTATTGGCTTCTTCTGATGTATCGGTCGGGGATACAACATTTACTGCGATACCACACACACACACAGCTCACGTCTCTCGACTCATGTTTCCAGGCTGAGCGAGGGCCTTTTGCATCGTATGATCTGTTGTGTACATCTTACTAGTACGAGCAACAGGAGCCAACTGGCGTGCTCTGTTGTGTATTGTTCACAGGCACGCGCAACAGGAACCAACTTCCCCAGCAGCTTGCCTTCGCTGTTGATCAAACAGAACGCTGTTGCACGTGGTCAGCCCGAGGTCAAGATGCATTTCTTCGACCGCCTACGGACAAGTTGGTGTTCGGCCCCATTGTACTTTACGGTGCCGGTGATACTGCCAATACTCGTGTCCACGTTCAACCCAGCCTTGTCCCCTTCCCGCCACGCAGAACAAAACACGGTCCCAACAAACGCCACACCGTGTCAGAACCAACATCCTCCGTCCCCTGAATGCATCGATTTTATCTCACTCTCCCACCGCACTACTCCTTTACCCCACCCCTTTGTCGTTCTCACTACAAGCCAACTACCCGACGGATCTCACTTGCGCCTTCTTTGGAGCCGTGCTGTGCTGCGCGTTGTCCGACGTGTGGGCGCTGGGAAAGCTCTGCTCGCTAGGGACGTACGCGGCAAGACTCGAAGAAGAGTGGCGGCTTGCCCCTCACGAACCGACGGCGCCTCTTGCCATGGCCGATCCACTGCAAGAACTGTGAGCCCGCACCTGTTGAAGGGGGAAGGATGTGTCAGGGATGTTCGTCGTCACGTCGTCGCTTGCCTCCGTCACGTGGCGGCGTTCCTGATACTTTTGCTTGCGAACACGGGAACAGGGCGGAGTGAGGGAGCGTACGTTTCTTCCCTCGGCTTGTCTTTTCGACAAATCCCTGCTTCTTCGCCAAGAAACGCCGTCCAAATCCCTGTCGGAGAGAGGGCAGGCGACTAACACCCTTACCAACTCAACAGTGTGCGATCTCTTACGTAGCCCGCTATTCTTATAAACTCGTTGCTCCAAGAGCCATCTTGCTGATAAATTTGTGGTCTACATATACGGTACAACTGACACGGATTGGCGGAAATGTGATGTGCTTGCAGTGAAGAAGCAACGCCAGATATGGACGAGAGGGGCTACAGGAAAATAGAGCGAGAGAGGAGGAGGAGCAGCCTAGCCAAGGCGAAAGAGCGAAGAAAATCTAAGGCCGGTGAGTTTGGGAAGGCCACTGAGGCACATGCACAAAGAGGAAGGAATGGAGATACTAGAGAGAGACGCACTCACGGAGAACGAGAGGCAAGGAGAGAGACACGTACATACGATCAAAGAGAGAAACGGTGGGGAGGACCACGGGAGACAGGGAGAACAGCAAGTGGCGCGAAGCCTGCAGTACATAGCCAAAGAGTAGAGAGATTCTAACAAGAAATGAAACATCGAAAGACGGTGTGTCTCCCTCGACGAGCGGGCTCAATGTCGCCTACCTCCCAAGCATAACGCGCCTCGAAAGACTTGCGGCGTGGAAAAAGAACGCGGTCTTTGGGTAGGCCCTCGGGCGGTGAAACCACACGTGTGTGTGTTGCATATCACAAGTGTGTATCTGCATTTCCTGAACGTACGGACCTTGGGAGGCTTCTGCTCCCCGAACTAGGCCGTTGGCGGTGAATGTCGACATAGAGGAAAGAGAACGGGGACGCAAGAAAAGAACGCTGTTCCGTCCCGACCAAGAAGGGGTAGTCTTTCTGTGTGTTTATTTACTTTTCCTAAGATAACCTGATGAAGTTATCGTTGGATACGCTCATAGGTTGAAGGGCGGGCTCCATCGCTCCCGTTTGTCTAGGGGGGAGAAAACTGGATGTGTTCAGATCCAGCTGGCTTGCAGTAGCAGACATGCGGGTTGTGGTAGGTTACCTCGGTGTCCTGCGTGGTATCGAGGTTCAATGAGGTCTGCTTCCCTCTGTCCTTATTGATTTGTGACATGCAAAATCTCGCGCTTACTTAAGAGAGAAGAGCGAGCGGCGGCGAAGGGGTCATGCCGGAACAGCGGGCGGTACCAGGGCAGGACGACCCTGAGTTCGGGTGAGATTGATCTCAGGGAAAGGTTTACTCCATTTTCTGGACTATTGCAATTGCCGTTCAGCCGAGCGAACAGCTTGTGCTTGTCGTTCGTCGTAAGGCAGATGCAAAGCTACAGATGTAGTCAAGGATTCGTCTAGGACTTATCGGGCAAGATACTTTGCCCAGCTGCCCCCCGTCAACAAACAAAGACTTTCTCGGAGGTTTTTGGTACTTGGTAAGTCTGGGAGTGAATCAAGTATTCACAGACATTCACGAAAATAGGGACCGGCTTGGATTCTGTTTTGGGAAGCTGGTGCACTCGCTAGAAATCAATCCGATATCTCGGATCCGCAGTCACAGTTGTACGCCTCCCTTTCGGCTCCGACCGCCTCACTACATCTCCAGTTCTTTGGCCCCTTCAATGACTCCTTGTGCTCATGAAAGCCCTCAAATTTGTCGACAAACGCCAAGATAAGGGCATGCTTGTTTGTGTGTAAAGGATGGGCTCTCGACTAATCCATGCCCAGAACACTGCAACGCAGGTAGCAAGGAGGCCTTCTCCGCCCTCCCCCCCTCTCACACACACAGTAGTCCGAGATCAGCGTCAGAGGCTACGCGAGCGCGTGGGCACATGCTCCGGTATAACGCACTCATTTTGGGCGGCTCTGTCCCCTCGATTGGACAGCAGTAGGTCAGGGATGCACGATCATATCCGGTACGAGTCACGCTTACGCCCGTCCGCTCGTCCATCTCGCACGCTCTTAACTATGCTTCTTGTTCCACGCCTAGCCTACAACAAGCTGTTCCCGGAGCGTCGTTTGGCTTTGGTGAGTGATGCAATATGATGTAGCCCAAACCTGATTGTCGATGCCACTTGCCGAGCTGATCGTGACACGATGGCAGCGATGGAAGGTACAACGACACCCAAAATATCCGTATTTTGCGTCGTACTGAACAACACGTCCTCCCTCTATAACTACGAACACACATGGTGGTGTCACAACCGGTATGATAAGTCGTGAGGGAGAGGGCGAGGCGCTAGGATCGGACTCCCTCAAGGGTTCCAAATTTTCTCGGCAGTCGCAGTTGTTTGCAGCGGCTTCTCGGACGGAACCTATGGTCCATAGGGTACAGATTCAATGCTTGTCATTTGCCACGATAGTTCCGATGTCCTTGCGGCGAGAGGGAACTTTCTTGGGGCCGTGCCTCAAACGAGCCTTCATAGCAGAAGCTAGGTAAAGGGGGTGACGTGAAAAATGCACAGCTTGCACATGGCACCTTCCGTCCTAGGCATCCGTGGGCGGGGGCAAAGCGTAGCCACGTCACCCACGTACGGTTCTGTCTCGAACGCACAACGCCCCTGTGCCAAGCTCTTGTCTACGATAATTTCACGTTGACAACGAAGATCACCCCACTGTTCTAGCAGAAAAAGGAGAAATGAGCTCACATGGTCTGCTGAAACTATGGCGTGCTTTTCCCTCGTTCCAACGTCCCTCAACCTCACAACAGCCGTGAGCGAGGACGAAGTAATGATGCCGCACGCGTTCGAGCGACTGTGGGGCGCGTTCGAGCCCCAGGGCGAGTTCCAAACCCACATCACGCAATCGGTACCACAGACGACGGTGGTTCGCCACCTCAACGACAGGGGTTTCCAGGTACACGTGATGAGCTTGTCTCTCCAACTCTCTCTCGACGATGGGTCACGGTCGTCTGTTTGTATCTGTTGTTCCCGGTGCAGTATATAGAGCGTGGTATACAGGCCAGAAGGCTCATCGCGGCGACAAAGAGGGTGGGCTCTGTAACCCGTTAAGAATCCGGATTCTCGGTCGGCCACCAATTTGGCACGGATGCCATTGGTTGACGTTCTTACGCAGGTGGTGGCAGCGGGCACGGTGGACGGGTTGATGCGAGTCCTATTCTGCGCGAAAGAAGCCACCTCCAACGGAACCGGCGCCTGGTTCCTGGCCGAGCTGCTGCAGGATGAGTCAGCCCTGACTCTGGAAGCCACCTTCAAGAGCAAGCGCCCCGCGGTCGTGCCCGGCTTCGTTCGTGCCTTCATGCTCCACCACGTCTTCACGATGGCCGCCGCGTGACAACTGTTCCTTTCTTGATAGCTTATCTTGCGTGTTTTGGAACCGCTCAACGTCCGACTCCGTTCGAAATACGTAACCCATCCCCATTTGTTATTTCACGCGTTTTTCGTGCGTGAGGGAGAGCGGGACAGAGTCAGCGAAACTGGTGCTGCAACGGATGACGCCTGGTACACCTCTTGCTTGTTCGAAAACGCAGGTAGTCTGTATACCATGTCTAGACAAGTTTCATCTAGACACTGACTTCGGTGTGAGCCCTGGTTGGCCTTGATCCTACTTCAGCACTGCTAATACAGTGAACTGTTTCTGGTAGTTTGGGTGTTCTGTTCGTAGTAATCCGTTTGGGCCACCTCCTCGATCTCACGCGTTGGTTCGGCTTTATGAGGCATGTGTGCCATGCGACTTCGCAATGTTAAGGGCTAATGGTCGGGCTATTTCTCTCTCCAAAGAACAAATTGGACAGCAGTAGTGGTTGTACAAGAACTGGGGAATGTGACAGTCTTCACTTTGGACGAATTTCAAAAGAGCTCTTTTAGGAAACATGTGGACGTTGTCACAAGAAAACACCAGATGGTGCGACCATAGTACCCAGCATGAACGGCCGAAATTGTCTCGGCTCACACGAGTACTTGGACCAGTGGAGCGAAGGAGGAAGAGGGTAGTGGGGAATACGATTGACTCTGCTTGTGACGGTATAGGACTTACATATAGTCACTGTGTGGTTGCAGCACGACCTCCGAGGTTCAGGTTTCGCGTAGTTCGCCAGTTCTCGGCAGATCTGTTTTTTGGGAGTTGACGATAATGGGGACGATTCGTCCTACGTCGCTTCGCAATACTTTTTCTTTAGACGGCCATACCGCGACGTCGGGCTCATAAGGCGGTAGAGGGTTGCTGCTCGTGGTAGGGATGTGGAGACTGTTTGTTGCACGAACTTTGTGGAGGGAAACAGAAAAAAGCCTCTTTGGGGTTAAAGACAAATAATGTATATAGAAGCGGAGGAGAGAAAGCTATACATTGGTCTTATTTGCTACGAAGAAGACTTGTATGCATACGGAACGGTAACCGAAGCCGATCGACTGGCGGCAAGTCGACTACATACTTCGCAGTCTCCCCGTGCATGTTGTCCTTTGAACGCGGGCCAATCACCTCCGCCACGCCATCGTGGAGGGTCCCCATCAGCTACATACAGTAGTACGCTAAACTAACTGTTGTTTGTTGTCGCTCCCCCATCATCAGGTTCCCTTTGTAGTTCTTCATCTTTTCGTAGTAAGTGGAGAAACCAAGTGGATGGCGAGAATCGAACCCGGGTTATCCCCACCATTGTTAGAGATCTTTTGATCGACGCCAATTAATGTGAAAAAAGCAGACGTTGGGGAACTAGCTGTACACTGCTGTGTTGAGTGTGTGCCGCTCCCTGTCTGTGTGTGATGGCGTTCATTTTGTTCACCCCGCTCGCGGAGAGGCGGGCGCAATATTTTCTATTTATACTCGTAGGTAACGTATAGATATCTTACAGCAGCAGAGCAGAGCAGCAGCAGCAGATTGCATTCATTCCTGTGGGAAGTATTTGCAGTGTTAGGCCCGTTCACGAGAAGACCGAGAAGAAAACGGAAAGAAAAACTTTTGTTGTTGTTGTTGTTGTTGTTGTTGTTGTTGTTGTTGTTGTTGTTGTTGTCTTCACATTAAACCGTTCTCTCTGCCCAGCAGTACCTTCTTCTGTCCGTACTATCATACAGAAGAACGGGCCCGGAGATAAGAAACGTCAAAATCGGGTCGAGCCTCAATTTCATGTTTTGGGCAGAAGGACCAGCCGAAGTCGACCCAATTTCTTAAAATGGATTTCTTATTCATTTAGGCTGTCGCGTCCAGCTGAGTCTCTTGTTTTCTTATTTTCTTATTCTAGCGAAGAAACAACACACCACCAGTCAGTACAGCAGCAGTGCCTGGTGGGTATAGCGCAGCCCGCGGCGGCGCGGGGGCGCGGAGGGCGCCGCGAAAATATCCTCCCCCCTCCCCTACCAATAAATATTACATGGCAAAAATCGCTCCGATTTTGAATGGAGTGGCGAAAAAAATAAGGGGTTGTGGGTCCGTAAATATTGGTAGGTGGCAAAATTGTCTTAATCGTAGAGACAGGCTAGGGCTTTGTGCTCCTTTTCATCTTGGAAATACGTGTACACAGGCGACTCCTATGCATGTATACGATCGAACCAGCGGGGTGGGGGCACTGCTGGACACTATTGTACATACAACTGAGCACAGAGAAATGCAGCAGTACTTCAAGGAATAATGTCTTACTTTACACAGCAAAGGTTGATCCTCGTTTGTCCGAGACGTCTGCGCCTTGAATATGTCGTTCGTATTGTGCGCGTGAGGATGACGGGGTGAACCCAGTGCTGAGAGGGTATGTAGCAGGTGTTTTTGAGTCGGACTGCTGCGAGGCTGGGCAGCATGCACCACATGCCATGCATGTGTTTGGTGTGCCTGTGTCGGCAAAGAATATGACTCTTTATGAGCCATGTTCTTTGGGTTGCTGTGTGTGTCAACTCGGGGGAGACGCGAAATCATTACAGGAAGGTATTCACCATTTGCGGACCCCCCAGCTCTCCAGTAATCCATGGAGAGAGCCACCCCCACAAGGCACTTTCCGCGACAGCCAATAGGTGAGGAAATACGCTGTCCAGTCGAACCTGGCTTGGATCCCTACGGTACCGGCATCCACCAGCGTTGTAGAAGCATCGTACTCGAGCAAGCCGAACCTCGGATCATTGACAATGTACCGCGCGGCAATGAAGCAGCGCCTCACACAGCGGCGGAAGCGCTGGTTTTAGTTTCAGCCAGCGCTGTCCTGTGTAGATCGCGGGGTTGGAACGCCCTCCGCTCTGTTCTCTGATCAAGATTTTCGGCGTCGGTCGGTTCCTTCTCTGATGTTGCCGTGTCGTGGAGCTGCTACCCGTCTGTGTTCGGGCGAATATTCGTGGGTGCCTGTTGTCCATCTCTCACATTTCGCGATCTTGCTGCTCGGTTTTTCTTTCCTCTGGCTGTCGGAAAATATCAGCTCATCATCGCAACAACAACCCCTACCGCGCAAATACAACGGCACCCCCAAGCAGCAGCAGCAGCACTAGCAGCAGCACCAGCCACTGACCAACCATGGCGGAGCTCGCATCCTGCACGATCTACATCAAGGGGATTGCCACGACGGCCACGGAGGCGGACGTTCGCGACGCGTGCTCACAGTACGGGAACATCACGGACGTGGCTATCCCGGAGGGCAAAGATTTTTGCTTCGTGGAATTCGCGGAGGAAGCGCAGGCACAGGTGAAGAGAGGGGGATATTAAAAACAGCTGCTTGTCAGAACATCGGCTGAGTCTCCGCGCGTGAGGCGCACAAGCAACGAGGACCTACGCCACTGGCTCGCATTGCATTTGCACCGTGACGCAGTCCTGCTAGCGCACCAACCGCCCTGCCCTTGTCGTGCGTGACGATCTTGTGTTCTCTGTTGCAGAAAAATGGTCGCAAAAAAAAAGTCGTCGCTTTTTTTTTGTGTGCTCTTTGCCCCTCCTCTCCTCTCTCTCTCTCAGAGAGTCCGTGTTCGGTAGATTTGTTCCTTGATAGACCGCAAGATTTCGCGCCATCTTGCTGTACCCAACAAACAAACCTGAACGGCATCAACTTTGGGAACAAGTCGCCATGTCTCGCCGTATTGCGGGACTCCATCCTTCCGACCTAATCGCGCCCAAGCTCTCGCCTGACGCTTCGATTGGCTTCCTTGCTCGTTTTTTTTTTTTTCGGCACTTTCTTTCCGCACTCCCTTGCCTCCCCCGTTCTCGCTCGCGGTTTGGTTGGTTGTTGTCGGTGCACGACAGCACAGCTTATCTATACCCCCCCCCCCCCAAACCCCCCTGGGTTTGCTTTTTGAAAGGGGGGGGGTGAAAAAGGGGGGTTTAATGGGGGGGGGGGAAATGTTAAGGGGGAAAAAAAGAAAAGGGGGGGGGGAAGGAGAAAGGGGGGTAAGGGGGTGGAGGGGAATAAAAAAAGGGGAGTTAATTGTTTTTTTTTGGGGGGGGTTTTTTTTTTTTTTTTAGGAAAGGTGTGTAAAAAATTAGGGGGAAAAATTTAAGGGGAGGGGGTTGTATTTTAAAAGGGGGTGGGGGGGGGGGAATATATTTTGGGTGTTGTTGTGAAAAAAGGGGGAAGATTTTAAAAAGGGTTTTTTTTTTTTTGGGGAAGAAAAAAAAGAAAAAGAAGGATTTTTTGATTAAAAAATTTTTTTTGAAAGGGGGAGTAGGAGGGGAAAGGAAGGGGTAATTTTTTT